TGTGTGTGTGTGTGTGCGTGAGAGAGAGAGAGTGTGTGTGTGTGAGAGAGAGTGTGTGTGTGTGTGTGTGTGTCGTGATCAGCGCAGGTACATAAGAGCAGATGTGTGTTTGTGATTATAAGTTTCACATTATGACATTTACAGCGCAGGAGTTTGAGACGTGATTCTATTCTGACTGTAAGCTTTTTTCAGATCTTATGAATTTTTTACTCTTCTCTTGTATTTCATTTTAATGACATGCGACTTTTGAAACAATTAGGCGACTCGTGTGTCAGAAACTCTTCAAAGCAGTTTAACACACACCAGTCATTAGAGTCTGAGCTCACTGTTGAATATCATGCACTTTTCTACATGATGAAACTGAACTGTTCTGAGAACGTTTTGCTAATTAACTAATTAACTTAATTGTTATGAAAACGTTATGGGAACATTCTGAAACAAGAACAAAACTTATAGAAAAAACATTCCATAGACAACAAATAAATAATGTTTTAGTGCTAACGTTCTGAGAACATTGTTAAAGTCCAGATAACGTTGAACAAACATTCTATTAATGTTGCTGGAAGAACGTTTGTTCATAACTTTGAGAGAACCTCGCGTTCCGTTAGCTGGGTAAATATTGAAAAGCATAAATACAGAAAGCATATCAATGATGCACTAAAAATGATGTTTCAAAGATACTATTTCAGTCTTTCTACTTCAAAACTCCATGTTAAAGTTGCCGTTTCTTTGAATTTAATTGTGAAATTTTAGTAATTTCTGAGTGAACATTGTTTCTACACTACAATTTCTTCTTCCAGTGTACTATAACATGTCATAATAAATAGTAATAATAAGTTGTAAATACAAGAATTATTGTATTGGTGGCACGTTAAACAAGAAAATAGTACTATTTTTACTACAATCTTTAATTCAGTGTTTTACTTGCCGTTTATTTGCAATTATTTTTAGAATTTTATATCATTATTTGTGAAAAGTACTAGCAATTTTTGAGTGTTTCAATGCCATTTTTTTTCAATGCACGGTCAAAAAACGAAGCGACAGAGGAGGATGAGGATGAATCTTCATCAGCAGCGTTTACTGTAGTATCAGGAGCCTTCAGACTGAGCTGTTTACTGTAATTGTGCTTCAAAGGCTCGATATTAAGGAACGCTGTGATGGCCTGCCAGAGTGTTCAATTACTGCCGGCGAACTCATCTTTAATTCATGCGCGTCTGCTTGCTGTAGATTGCGATGATGAGGGCGATTTGTTTCGCTGAAGCGGCTCAGGTGTGGCTTTATTTGGTTATTTGTCATTTAGCAGATGATTTCTCATCCAGGCTCCAGATCAGCCTGAGATTCTCAGATGCTCCTCTCTCTCGCGCTCTCATCTCGAGTGGGCGTCCGCAGGGAACCTGAGCGCATTTGACAAGACCGAAATATACGTGTTGAGATGAGTGAGGAAAACAGCAAACACTCCACACGTCTGCAGGAGCTCAAACACTGCAGGATCAACACGAAATCATGAGGAGAAACACACATGGGCCAGTAAAGAACTCGCTTTCACCTTCAGCTGCTGCTCATTGACTTCTGTCCCTTTAAACACCAGTCGGGAAAACTGAACTCAACCTTTAGACTCATTTAAGTTAGCATGTGTTTTTGTCCAGAATCATATTTGATCCATCAGGCTTTTGTGGCTCATACAGTGAGAATATGGAGCTCAATTTATTCAGAGACTCAAACTGATCAAAAATATGAATTTGTTGCAGATGCTGATATTTATATGATGAATTCTGATCTAAATCAATGAGATCTTTATAACAGTAGAGCAGATACTGACATAAAATGCTATAAATATCAGTCGTGGCTCTATATCTCCAGTAATATAAGATGAGATTGAAATGCACCAAACATATAACGCAGTGATTGAGAGCTGAAGAAATAAAGGCTCCTCAGAAGATGTGAGATGTTCTGGAGGCTTGTGAAGATCATTCCCCCGCTGAGGAACAGTGAAAGTAAAGCTTCTGGAAACAAACGCTCCTCAAAAGATCCTGAGGATCAGATTTGAGACTCTAAAACATGACTGATGGAGAATCAAGTAAAGCTGAAGCTGGACGTTTGTACAATTACACTAAAAGAGCTTTGACTGGATAAAACACTCTAAACTCTCAATCAGACGTGCAGGAGATTGAGTGTGAAACAGGTTTAACAGCAAAGTCTGATCATTTAGACATCGCTGACACAGTGGGATGTATAGGGTTAAACATGTTTTCTGCTTGTAGTTTAGAGGGTGAATTTCACAAATCCATATCCAGCTCATGTTTCACTCCACAAATCAATAAAAAATGAATAAATTCTTGAGCTCTGAGGGTGAAACACGAGCTGGATGTGATTCTGTGTGTGTATGAAGGTCTAGAAGCGGCGGTCAGTCGGGGTCAGAGGTCACTGAGGTCACCGACCCAAACATTTACAGATCTGCCCGAGACGCTGGAAACTAACAGGGCTTCCTCTAAAGCAGCACTTCTTTAATCAGAGGAAGACCGTGGCTTTGTGAGATACGATGAATAAATGCATGAGCAAAACTAGACTCTGTGTCTGCTATTAGGCCAGAAAGGATAATTAACTGGTCCTCCTGAAAGGACGGCGCAAAATACATCTCAAACACAGCTTAGCTTCAAAGACGCCCGAAGCCTGTCGCTCACATCGTTAGCGTGTTCTGCGTCTGTCAGTCGAGAGCACTGATGAAGCGACTGCAACAGCTGTAAGTGTTTCAGCATCTGCTGTGCTGCAGCACTCCACATGTAAACACACGCGGATTCACGTCCCAGCAGCTGCTGGATCTACAGGCCCAGAGTTTTGCTTTAGCGTTCAGAACAGCATTTCATCCCTCCGTAAGGAGCAGAAACAGCTTGGTGCCGTTCAATATTCAGTGGCAGACTGCCACGCGACAGACACTGAAACCAAACTCTCACGCTCGCCGAGAGAACGAGCTCAGATGAAATCCGAGCCTGCTTCGCTAACACTTATTTTCACAAGGCACACTTTCGTCCATCTCCAAATGAGATGCTTAATTCAGTTGTGCTCTGCTCGTCTCATTTTAAACAGATTCCCCATAAATGTAACGTCTGGAGGCGGCACAAAAGGTTTTAGTTTGATAAATGATTTGACTGAAAATTCGTCTGCACGCCTCCAGCTGAAGCCTCATTTGCACAGTAAGATCACTGAAGACGACAGATGAGTTCTGTTCGGATGGGTCTGGAGTCACTAATCCGCAGGATAAACAGTGGGAAAAATCCTTGTTCGGATCATCTGTGCCGCAGCTGAGAAGACTGATTAGCGGCGGAGAGAATCGAGCGCCCTAGAAACACAAAAGCAAGATGAAGAGGTCGAGGCAGATGGAGAACTAGAAGCTGCGCACGTTTCACGCGAGCGCATTCGGAAGGTCAATCTGTTTTCCGTTTCTTAGTGCATCTAAAGAAACAAATTTGACGAGACTTGTTTGTCCTTGATGTGAGAAAGCAGCGCTTCCTTCAGAGGAACATTTGATTTGATTTTAGATGAATGTTGGGAGAGAAACACCTACAGAAGCTGAATTTGGCACCTTTGGAATCTTGGAATAAAAAGCTTAATTATCAGCTTGGAAAGGTGCTTTTTTTCTGTCTAAAACTCTTTTACACTTGCAGCAGTACAATAGAAGATTCATTTTTGGCTTTAGGAATCTCTCAGTGATCAGTTCTTAAAGTTCACCAAAAATATGCCAAAAATGTGCTCACCCTGAGGTCATCCCAGATGAGTTTGTTTCTTCTGCAAGTGAATGGGTGCCGTCAGAATGAGAGTCCAAACAGCTGATAAAAACATCACAATAATCCACAGCACTCCAGTCCATCAGTTCACATCTGGAGAAGATAAAAGCTGAAACAAATCCAGCATTAAGATGTTTTTAACTCAAATACATAGAGTCCATAATCTATAATAACTCTTCCTCCAGTGAAAAAGTGCATCTGCTGTTGTCTCTCACATCAAAATCCAGCTACATATTTACATATTTAAACGCTGCTTGATCTGTGCAGATTTCTCTCCTGATTCAGACCAGAACACTTTTTCACTGGCAGAAGAGTTATTATAGATTATGGACTCATATTTTAGATATTAAAAACATCTCAATGCTGGATTTGTTTCAGCTTCTGTCTTCTCCAGATGTTAAAGTGCAGAGGAACACAAACTGTCGAGGGAATAAAGTCACAGACAGACAGAATTCCTCATAAACTGCGGTCGTGTTTGTTCTCTGAATAAATCAGTGTGTGTTTGTCTGTGAATCCACATGAAGGAGGAGTGAGAGCCGCTGCATTCATCAGCTCCTCGTTGACTCTGTATGGAGCAGAAAAACAAAGTGCCAATCAACAGCGAGTGGACATTGTTCAGCGTTTGCTGCCAGTCTTCAGGACGAGCGCTTTGATGTGCGACTGAACATCAGATGGGCTTCCAGCAGCACGGGAGAAATACTGCCGCAGTGCTGCATAAATACAGCCCGTTTACAAAAGAGTCCAGCATGAAAGAGTCAGGACACGGGGGGGAATACACGAGTTCATGTGGGCTGAGTAATGACAAACCATTAATGGTAACGTTACTGAACCCCTGCAGAGTCTAAGGGCACATGAGCAACATCTCTAATCACTGAATGACGAATATAAATGTGTTACTGGACAAACATGATGCATCACACATCTGAACGGCCACAACATCCAGGCACGATTCTCTCAAAGTAACCGTTCTTCCGGTAACGTTAATAAAAGTTATCTGGTCTTTAGTAATGTTCTCAAAACATTACTTACACATTCATGGAAGGCTTCACTTCTGAAACAGTTTAGTTGGACGTTCATCTAATGTTCTCTGAACGTTCTGAAACCAGCAACATTCAAATGTAACATTCCAATAATGTTCACCAAACAATGGAATGTTCCCGTAACATTTGCATAACCTAATGGAAACGTTTGGGAAACGTTCAGAGAACATATTTTGTTAGCTGGGAAGCTGCCAGACTATGTGTGTATATATATATATACAGTGGGTACGGAAAGTATTCAGACCCCCTTCAATTTTTCACTCTTTGTTATATTGCAGCCATTTGCTAAAATCATTTAAGTTAATTTTTTTTCCTCA